ATCCTGCTATAATCAACTCATTTGCATATATCTCAGTCAGTCATTCTACTTTCCACAAAATTCCTCCTTTATTTTAGGAAAATTCTCTTACTCTCTACCTCAGGAATCTCTGGTAGCCACAAGTCGCAGCCCCATTTCTTTAATGTCCTCATTGTTTCCATTCCCTTGTCCTTTGCCTTCACAGTACATGTGACTCTCTCCAGCTTGCCCTCCACTGTGCTACATTACTTTCTTCTGCCCCTAGTTAATGTGTTAGCTCTGCGGGTGTTCTCTACCCTGTCTTCTTTCTGTTCTCTCATGATCTTAATGTCTTTGTTAAAAGTAAGACATTTGTTTTTCTATTTTGGTGCACTGTCTTCCACAATAGATTTTTATGTGGCCTTCACTTGCCTTGTTCCCTTTTACTTTATATAGTTACTGTGTTGTTGTTTTTTTCTCATTCATTTGTGTTTGGGGAGCAGGTCTACCTGAACCACTCTGTGCTCATGTGACTCCCCTTCTATGACAGCAGGGAGAACCACCACCCTTTCTAGGGGGCTTGGGGAGGCAATGGGAATAGATCACAAGATGGTCACAGCTGGTCATCCCAGGAGACAACAAAATCATCATAAAACTCCAATTGTAGAGCTCACTCACCTGATCAACAGCACACCTTTCACTTTAAAGTGAATGTGCACCAACAGGTCTCCTGGGAGCTGCCCTAATAACATCGCCTGTTCAGACTCAAGCTACCAGATGCCTCCCAGCATCCTCCCCTCCTGCCAGCACCAGGCAGCCCCGGGGCAGGCACAAGCTCTAAGAGGACATTGTTTATCCAGGTGGGACAATAAATTCTCGCAGAAAAGCAAGACACACTTAGCACAGCATAAGCACTGACATACATCTTCCCAGGGAAGAGTTTTCTAAACATTACACCATTGATATGGGCTGGAAAAGGACTAAGCATGGAAGAAGCCTTTCCCAGCAAGGATAGCTAGGACCTAAGCAAACAAGGAAAATTCTGCCTTGTCTTACACTCAGTTCTATAGAAAGAAAAGGTAGATTTGGTTTTTGAAGTATTAACTATATGTAAATTCGTCTTCCATTAAGAAAATAGCTACTTTGTAAGAGAACATAACACAACAGTTTTAAATGATATGATTGGCCAGTAATAAATAATAACATCAACCACTGCTGTCACTGTCTATATTCTGTAAACACACACAATAAAAGCTCTGGCACTTGTTAGCTATTTGGACCAAAAGGCTAGCTTTTTATGTTGCAATAATTTTGAAAGATTTATAATTTTTTTCATTTTCTCCCCCTATATTTTAGGGAAGCATCTACAGGGTGTTCAGGGTCTCGCTACTAGATCGGACTCCTAGTGATCCGCCTGTTTACAGCCTCCCGAGAGCTGGGATTACAGGTGCACATCACAACACCCAGTCTCAGCCGGCCACCTCAGCATGCCCTGGGGGCGGGGCCAGCACTGCAGGTCTGGGGATCAAACCCCCCGCCCCTGTGCCTGCTTGCACACACTTTAATCCACTGAGCTATTTGGACAGCCCGAAAGATTTAGAATTTAAAATGAAGTTTTTAAATGATGTCTTTAAAAGCACGTAGATTGTCAGCAATCTTTGAATTTTTTTTTTCCTTTGTTTTGGTACAAAGCTCAAATCGCTGCAATATGTTCCTAAGCTTTAGAATATTCTCTCAGAGAAAAAGAAGTTTGCAATCCAAAGCTCCATACTATCCCTAGAGGAATCACACATATAAAGTTCTAATAATATTGATTTGATAAAATCTAGTTATATTAAAAGTGGTAAGTCACTCTGCCTGTATCAGGATGAGCATTATTTATACGTGGCAGATCTCAAAATGTGACCTCTTTCAAGCAACTATATTTGCATTTAACTTTAATTCAACACCCATAAGGCTGGATTATGCTCTATAATATTAAGTAACAGAATTATCCCATGGAGGTATCAAATCATTATTATTTAATAATTGGGCATACTCAATTCATAAGATATACTCATGACTAATGACACTTCAATATACACCAAGAAACTTTTTTCAATCCATCCCTTCCCTATATTCATGGCTTAGAAATCAAAGTCTGCAGGGTGTGTGCGTGTGTGTGTGTGTGTGTGTGTGTGTGTGTGTTTGTGTGTGTGTCTTCTTGTTGCAGAGTCCCTGGCCTCCAGTCATTACCACAAGGCAAGCCAGAGCCAGGCTTACCCTCGTAGAATATGAAGAAGCTGCTTGATGCCTCCCCAGATGCGAATCTCCACACTGGTCTCGGGATCCTCGCAAACCTGGACCAGAATCCAGACGACGCTCCAGAGCAGCTTCAGGTGGTCTGAGTGCAGCAGACTGAGCAGGACAGGTATCCCCTCGTACAGCTTCACCTGCTCTTTCACCTGGGGCTCGGCGCAGAGGAGGCGCAGCAACTCTGCAGTGAGTCTAAACGGGAAGAGGGGACAGACCGGGAGAATCACAGCACCACCAGCTAGGGACTTCATGCTCGTGGCTCGCGCTGGAGCTGCCACGACTGCGCGGGACTTAACTGGAGCACTTTGCAAGTCATCACACACCTTTTTCATCACAAACCCTAACCAAGTATTTTCAGTCTTGCTGGCCATACAATGTCCATCATAACTACTTAGCTATGCCAAGATAGTGTGAAAACAACATAGACAATACATAAAAATGAAGGGGCAGGGCCAGCGAGATAGCTCTGCAGACTAAGCATCTTCCTAGGCAAGCAAGCACAAGGACCGGGGTTCGATCCCCAGCACAACATGCTACACAGGCACCACCCCAAGGCCTGCTGAGCCAGCCACCCAGACCAAGCATGGTGGTGCACACCTGTAATCCCAGCACCAGGGAGGCTGAAAACTGAAGGATCACTATGAGTCTGAGCTGCATAGTGAGACCTTATACAAAATATATAAATAAATAGAAATTTAAAAAATTTAAATTTTAAAAAAATTTCAAAAATGAAGGGGCATTGGTGTCATAATAAAGTTTTATTTACAAAACAAGCAATAGGCCATATGTAGCCTACAGGGTGTAGTTTACTGACCACTCTTTTAAATATTATATCTTTATTTTTCTAGCTAAAAACCTACTGGCCAGCAAGTAGGTAATATATACAAACAGCAGGACTTGTGTGTGCTCAAAGAAAAAGAATACAAACAGCTTTATCCTAGTCTTTAGAAACTTTTGTGCATGGTTATAAAATAAGACAAAGAAAATGTCAAAAAGAAAACTCTACAATGTAGGGAAATTATGCACAAAGTCCTCAGTGATCCATGTGTGCTATGTCTAAATTTTAAAATTGTGGAGAATACACAAGGTTCAGCTGAACCATGAAACACTGTGATTACAGAGACTTCATGGAATCAGCCTTTGTCCTCCGATCTCACCCTCCATGTGCTGTCCCAGCGTCATCCATTCCCATGGTTACAAACACTTCCCACCTGTTATCATCATAATCAGGCACTGCTCATGACCTTTGGAAATTATAGCTACACAGATATTCTACAAAGGCTCATGTGTGCTATGTCTAAATTCTACAATGTCTTCCTCTCAAATATGTTCTTTCCCTTATAACCCCAGTTGGACTCTGGACACCCCAACCTTTCACATGCCAGGAGATTAGGAGTTACTCATACTTCCTTCAACATCTTGCCGCTGCCCATCAAGAACCCTGTGGGTGTCCTACTTCCTGGACCACCATGGAGAGGAATTCTCCTACGAGGCATACAACTCTCCTGCTGCTCTTCCAGTCCCTTTCCTTCTTGATCTTGTGTGAGCTCCAGGCCCTCTTATCCACCTTTCCACTGTCCTCCTCCTCTTCTGCTTTATAATTTCTTTCCCACAACAAATTCTCCATGTTCATCCCATATTCAATTTCTTCTTTTGCTATGACACTAAAAACGTCTGTTCCTTGGTAAACTGTAACTCTTTACAATCTCAAACTTTCTGAATCAGAGATTCTTTCTATCAGTCGATCTCAAGGTGTGGATTGATTCCTGCCTACCCCACCTTCACATATAGAGTTAGCAGAATGATCTCTCAAAAAAATGTGATCATGCTCAAAATCTTTTCTGGTAGTCCCCACAGGGTCATGTTAACATTTGTATCTTTATTTAACACGCAAACCCTGTCTGATCTGGTCAAACTTGTCCTATTGGCTCCTCCATAAAGCATGGAAAAGAATAGTTACTGTGTAGATAAATGAGCAGACACACAGAAGTGCCTGGAGCATGCGCTGGCATGTGCAAACCACTGATCAAAACTTAGCTCTATTTTTTTATTTATCACTGAATGTCTCTCAGAGCTTTCCAGCACTTTCCCTCCTTTGGACCAGCTGGACCCCAACATGCCCATTCCTCTGGAGTACACCCTACCTCCATTTGCTCTCTCACTCTGCCTAGATATAGTCTCTGTCCTTCAGAAGACCAGCATGACTCATCACTTGCACCAGGGGGTCTCTGCTCCGTGTTCCAGGTACCCAGTTCATCCCTACATCTAAGCACTACAGTGAAATCTGTGATTCTTCTGTCTGTCCCCACCCCTGCATGATACATATGTATGCTATTCATCCTTCGTTTTCTAATACCTGGTGCAGTGCCTAGCTCCTTTTTAGTGAATAGTTCAAATAACTAATTATGTAAATATATAGACCACTGTCTCTATCTAACATTGTTGTAAGAGTATTAAATCAGCTTTAAAGAGAAATTTTTAAAAATTGCTACAAATTGTTTCAGGGCTTTATTGCTTAGGATTTCTATCATCTGTCTTGACTCTTTAGAAAACCATCGCTCAACTCAATATCAAATGATGTCGACTGCAACCCTAAATATAACCAAGTAAAGATCTGGATATGGTAATCCCTTAAGCAATGTGCAACTCAAGTAAAGACAACCCATTTTACTTGAGATGCTGTCCTAAGTTATAACAAGTGATCCCCAAACAAGTCAATCAGCATCTTACTTAACTCATTCGAAGTAAAAACAGGCTTAGCAACCTAATCATGTAGTCTACACATAGTCAAAAAGTAGAACCATGTTCGAGTTTCTTTCTCACAAAAAGTATGTAAGTAAACTAAATAAACACATCAAGCAAAAGCATAGGGTTAGTTTATCATAACAGCATCCCTGGTTCCAAAAAAAAAAAAAAGAAAGAACGAAAGAAAAAAAGAGTATATAACTGTATTAAGAGCACAGGTCTAGAATTAATGCAGGACTAAAAATAAATCAATAGACTTCTCTGCACCAGTTTCTTTCTATAATATTAAACAGAAAATAATTCACACACTAACTCATGGTATCCAGTTATCATTGTAAATACTATAACATGATAATACTAAGCATTTACACATGGGGCGTAAGTTTATCTTATTCAATTTTAGCAACCCTACCTTTTGGAAAGCAAATCATATTCATGTAAAATCATCAATAGGTTTTCTACAATGCTGAGTTCACTTATCTTCTCCCTACATTGTGGACTATAAATTTTAAAATATTAGTTAAGTATTAAAAATATATTTACTACATTAATTTCATACTTAAAGGAGAGATCAAACAAAATGAACTACATGTTGTTCATAGAAAACAAAATAATGATCTACTCATTGGCATAAAATATATTTAAAGCATTTCTATTTAAAACAATGACATCGGGGGCAGGGAGAAAGCTCAGTAAAATAAGCACTTCCCTGGCAAGTGTAAGGGCCTGAGTTCAATCCCTGCTTCTGCCAAAATAAATACATAAGTAAATAAATAAATAAATAAATAAAACAATGACATCTATAGGAGAACAGGTTTTCTAAAGAAACTTTTAAGGTCAAAAATGTTTGAAAATGTGCTGTAGGTTGAAACAAATACACAGCTAAGAATGAGGAAGAAAGGTCAGGGAGATTTCACTGGGAGAGAAATACAATAATATTGAAAGTATAAGTAGATGAGGGTTAGATGAAAAGATACAGTAAATATCTTATATCAGGAAGAAGAGGAGAATTTTGAGCAGTTATTTGCCTTTCCAGCATAAGCTTTAAAATGATATTTTCCACTCAAGATCCTCTTAGAAACATTTCTTCATGGTTATTTTTCTGCAAAATTTCACCAAGAAGATGAAAAGCAGTAGGTCTGTATTTCACCCCTTCATCTAAGTTGCTATAACAGCAGACCTGAGAAGTGTAACATTTTGGCCCTAGCCTTCCAAGGTCAATTAAGACTCAGGACATATGAAAACTTGTACTGTAACGTCATGTAACTCGGTAGTGTCCCAAATTTTCTGATCAAGGAGATTATGGGGCCAAAGAGGAAAGTGATCGATGATGTAGAGTGTGCCTAAGGAGAGTCACATGGAGAGAAAACACTCTCTCAGGCTTTCACAGAGAGCACATTGGCCAAGCAATGGCCGTGACTCATCCACATGGCTGACACTGACAAAGGTTCTACAATCTGAGGTACAGGATCTCCGGATAAATCCTGAGGGGATTTCACTGACCTTATCAGACCCAAAAGCTACAACTCTTGTTGCACAGGTCCTGCTTTACCTTGGTCTTAACCATCCAGCAGAAAAGTATAAAAAAGAAATATAAGAAGTAAAGCCATGCTGTTAGTTGAGCTGCACGGGACTCTGGTCAACAATTTCTGACATTGCCCGTCAAGCAGAAGACCCAATACTATTATGGACTACTGGACTCCTTTAGAATATTTTTCTGAGTTTACACACCTATAATATTCAAATAACGGAACTTAACAAAAAAAGGGGATACAGATGAATGTCCATTTTGTATCTGTGTATTCAAAGTGGTTAGGATAGATATATAGTTACATTCTCTTAATGAATAGAGGGATTTGTTCTACTAGTGTTTGTAAATAGGATATCATGTCTGCATCTTGTACAGCAATTAACCACTAGGAAGAATGTATGCAATGTGTTAATTATTGAAACCGTCCTACCAATTTGGTTTGAAACTGTCTCATTGCTATTTGTTTCTCAATAAAATTATGGAAAAAAAAAAAAGAACTGAGAAGTGTATTTAAATATACCTACCTTTCTGCTAGGCTGGCCAGGGCCAGAAGAGCGCCCAAAAGAACATTAGTGTCTCGAGCACTGAGTAAGTTTACTAGTGTCTGAAAAACAGAGGAAAAAAAATTTAATTACATAAGTACTATAATCTTCTTTGTCCACCATTATATGGGGTATAATGCTTCCTCCAAAACAGAAGTTTACAGTCTTTTAGAGGTTTTTGTTAGCTTTTAAATGTGTGTGCATATTTAAGCGGGAAGTATGTACAATTTTATAGCTGTTTGTTTGTTTCCTTCTTAGTGTTACCCTTTAAAATTTCTTCATGCCATCAAATATGTGTTTATGAGCATAATTTTTATTAAATAGGATCAAAGTATTTCTTATGTTAAAGATGAGAAGGGGATCTGGAAAAGGAAGGAAAGAGGACAGAAGAAAAGGGTAAAGATGATGGGGACACGGCATGTATATATGTCAGCCCCCCACAATGAGTGTGACTGTTAAGTATTACAAATAGACTAATAAAGAACATAGTCTTACAGATAGCACCAAGTCACGTATCATGCTATGGCTTTACTTAGAGAATAATGAAAAATGCTATTCATTTATACAAAGCCTTGTATAGGATCTTTTGTTTTTTATCTTGTAGTCCATGCAGAAGCTTACTCTTAGAGGAAGTTTTTGGATGAACATCCAAAATTCCCAGTTTTTTTCCAGAGGGTAGTTGTCCTCTTTGTTGCCACCCAGCACGTGAGAGCCTGAGGCAGGAGAATCACTACGAGTTCAAGGCCAGCCTGAGCTACGTAGTGAGTAGCTCAGGATATTTAAGGGCAGGACTGCGGAGCAAGACCCTGTCTCAAAAAAAAAAAAGTACAATCCCAAACAGGTTCTAGGTCAGAGTTGAAATCTGTGCAATAACAGCTAGAATGATTTTTGTCTGGCTTCCATTATGTAGACTTTATCCCTTTATGATTTCTTTCTTTTAAAAAATGAAGCTATGAAGCTATTGCTATTTTTAAGAGAATAAAAAATAGTTATAAAAACATTAGAGGTGATACACAATTTCACTAAACAAAATGATAGGAATTCAACAATGGTTATTACAGCGCATATTGTTGTCTTCAAATTAGTTGTTTAGATTATCAGATACATGCATGCAAAATTGGCCGAAAAAATTAAAAAGAAAAAAATTAAGCATTAACTATTCCTTTCAATAGAACAGTCATTGCTATTTTTCTAAAGATTTCCTCCTATGTTTCCTTTTCTTATCTGTCTTTTAACAGAGCTCCCAAGCATATTATTTCATATTTTTACCATGTTCACTTAACACCTTAATATTAAGTGAAAATTTTTCTACACTCCTCCCCTAGACCATTGATGGTGAACCATTGATGGTGAACTTTCAGTGACATCCATGACCTGCTACAGCATGCGCGCCATAGGTTCGCCTCCACAGCTCTAGCCTAGAGCTCCACGCACTGATGCAGGCAAACCTGCTCCGGTACACTGGGTAAGCAGCTTCGTAGGACATGGGTATCCAACGGGTTACTAGTAGTCGGCTCTAGACAGCTATCATCTAAACAGCTTTGTTGTTGTAACAGAAGTTTAATCTGTTTTGATTAAACCTGCATTCATTCAAGTTGAAGTATATATTTGATCCATATACTATTCCATCTTTTTATGAGGTTATAACATGAAATTGCTTATATGCCACCAATTTTGAGCTACAAGCAATGGCCGTTTTCTTTCTTTCTTTCTTTTCTTTCTTTCTTTCTTTCTTTCTTTCTTTCTTTCTTTCTTTCCTTCTTTTTTTTTTTTTTGGCAGAACCTGGGATTGAATTCAGGCCCTTGCGTTTACCAGGGAAGCGCTTATTCCACTGACTCATCTCCCTGGCCCCTACAATGGCTGTTTTCTACAGTTCAACCTAACATGACCCCATAAGCCATGTAGAATTTATTTATAAGTATACATACACATTCTATGTGTTGCTTAACATTTATTTATGTACAACCACACCCTTAGGGGCAACTGAGATATAGCCAGAGTTTGTCAAGCAACATTTAAATGAGACAATAAACTTAGTTCATATTACATGGTATAGGAAAAAAAAAAAAAAAGCATTTCAGAAAAACTTTTATTTACTTATCGATATCTACTCCCTAGGCTGGTAAAGAATATAAAAGGGCTGACAGAGAGACCCAACTTCTGGCCAGTTTAGTGAGCCTGGGTGTCACAACTACATGCAGAGGGACCCAAAGGTTCTGAACCAGGTGTGGGCAGCGCTGTGCTCCAGAGCCCCACGCAGCTACAGCACTCACTCACTCTGGACGCCAACTCACCTTGTGGGCTCCGCTTGTGGTGACCCACTCTCTTTGGTCTTTGACAGCCGCAAGTTTTTGAAATATATCTGTAAAGGAAGGCAGAGATAAGGAGCTTAAAGGAAGCAGTGCTCAGAGAAGCTGGATTTGCAATGCTGATGCTCCAGCAGCCGAAGGGCAAAGGACACACAGCCAGGGAGGAGGGCGGGCCCATTCACCCCTCAGGCTGGGCTAACTCTGGGTTTACAGTACTACGGTGATGAGGAAATAGGGAAATATCAAAAACAGCAAACCTGTCCTGCCACTTAAAAGTTGAACAAGCTTCTTGACATGGTGACAAGTTCAAAGCAAGGCCTGCTCTCCAGATATCCTCCTCAGAGGGATTTCGACTTAGGAATAGGAGGGGAGGCCAGCGTATGGGATACGTGTGGCTAGCTTCCTCAGCTGGGGGAAACAGTCATCCCACAGCAGCAGCCTGGGGCCTAGGGCTTGCCCCAACCTCTGACCCAGCACCTGAGGATTGGGGTGATAGCGCACTGCCCTGCAAACAAACGTGGACGGCAAGTCCGCTAGCCAGCGGGAAACAGGTGGCAACATCCCCATCCCCATGCCGCAAGGTGTCTCTGGCCCATGGGGAGGGGGTGGTGCCCCAAGAGAAAAATCAAGTGTCTAGGGAGGCCCTCATACACAGAGACCAGTGTTCCCATGTCACTGTCTTCAGGTGAGACTCTCTTTTCCTTTTCCCTAATGCTTAAGTTCTTCTTTTTAACTTTTTGACTGATCTTGCATGTGGTAATCTGAACAACTAATTTGAAGATAACAATATGCAAATAGCAACTATTGTTGTATTCCTATCATCGTGTTTAGTGAAATTCTGAATCGTTTCTCTTTTTTAAAAATATATATTTTTATTCTCTTTTTTAAAATATTTAAAAGGTCATAATTTTTGTGTTTAATTTTGGAATAAGGTCTCACTAATTTGTCTAGTGTGGGTTCAAATGTGCCACCCTCACATGCCTCAGCCTCTCTGAGTGCTAGGGGTACAAGTGGGAGCCATACGCCTTGCTTCCTTTTCTTTTTTCATATTCTGATTTTTTTAATGTTCCAAATCCTATAAAGTAAATGTTATTATTAACCAAATAGTAGAGGTGAAATTGAAGCCTCTGATACTTAACAGAAAAAAAGAGGCCAAAATACTTCTCCCAAACAAAATGCTTCATGGAAGCCTCTTATCTGAAATAAATTGTCCTTCCAAGGTAAGAGCTGGGAGATGAACATATTCTGATGTGTGTTGTGCTCCTGCATGTGAAGACAAGCATGGATTTTCAACCCCCTCCTTATGAATGGAAACATTCAGAAGCGTTCATGGTGCCTTTTCCTGTCACTGCAAAGGCCAGGCTTACACGTCATGTTGACCAGCTTATCCACACTGTGCTGCTCTTCGCCACAGCCCAGGTACTCGTTGGCCACAATGTCCATGTACTGCTCCAAGAACAGAAAAGACAATTAGAATGGGACACAAAAACCCACAAGAAAGTAAGGTACAAGGTTGTGTAGTTCCTAAAATGGGCTCTAGGTGGCATGACAGATTCACCAATTATTAGTGCTCCTGGGCCTGTTGCACTAGAGGCAAGAGGTGGCAGGGCGCCCTAGCATAAAGGCTGTGCAAACGCTGTGAAGTCCCCAAAGAACCTGTAACTGAATAAATCTGCGGAGCAATTTAATAATAAAATGCAAAATATATAAGACATAAGACGGAAATTTAATTCTTTCATTTTACCCTTTCCTAGAGTTTTTGTAACATTCTGCATATATTTTTATTAGCCTTATTTTTTATAATGTCCAAAATTATGTCTAGCCATCATAAAGGTAGATATAATTAAAAATAAAATGAAGTTATAATTCCTCACTGATAAGAAATTATAATAAGAAATACAATAAGAAATCAGACAAACTCAGAATTTCTGATAGCACAAAGGAAAACAAAGTAGATAAGATCATGGTCTTATGAATGATGGTTTCATTAAATGAGATAAACTTCCAGTGAATTATGATTCTTAAAAACAAAATTTAAGCATGAATCCATTCTCAGGAAAGAGATTTGGTTTGAAACTGTCTCATTGCTATTTGTTTCTCAATAAAATTATGCGGAAAAAAATAAAATAAAAATAAATAAATAAAAGGAAAGAGAACATAATGAAATAGATTTAAAATGTCATTAAACTCAAGTTTCCACTAATAACTGAGGATGAGCCCACAGGGTCTTGGGTTTGTTGCATTAGTCATTCTTTACATTCCTACTATGTGTTTTAGGAAAGGGAGCCGCTGCACCTGAACGTTTATCTTTGTATTAACAAAGCCAGATCCCTGCTGGGCTCAACATATATATTCATCTGAATACCACCCTTCGGAAAAATAACGAAGTTAAGATCATTCCTTACTTCATTTATTCATTAATATGTTCACAGAAGAGATATTTGTATGTGAAAATGTTTTAACTACCTTCCTAACTATTTCTCCCATCAGATGGAATGTAGTTCTGAGGGCTTTACTTGGCCGGCCAACACCTACTCCTTGTCCTTACTAACTACAGACATGGTACTTTCATGGGACTTTCTATTTCCCAAAACTAAGCAAAATACTGAAGAACAAATGTCATGGGCCCTTCCCTGCTCTGTGAGTGTCTTGCTTCAGGCTCACCCCTATTCCCTCCACACCTCCCGCCCCACAAGCACCACACCATCCAAGTCATTGTGTGCCCACACTTATTCTATCCTTGCCCTTGCTGTGCACAGAATGTGGAGGCACAAGCAGCCACCACAGAGCAGATCTTACCTGAGCCAGGTTTTCGATCCCACCCAAATGATGGAGTATCTCCTAGGAAAATAAAAACAGTGGGACACAGGTAAGAGATGAGGGCAGAGGGGAAGCACACTTCGCATGCAACTTCCTGTACTAGGTGACAGATTTAGAACTGCTTCCTGCAGTTCCACAATCTAGCATAAACATGGAGATTTTAGTGTTGGTCATTCACACCACATTTAAGATAAACCGGTAATAAATAGGAAAATCATATTGAGAGGAAGACAAAGATTATGTTTAGAAATGTACCCTACATCCTGATTCTTTGATCTTTGTCCTGTCATTAAGTGTTAGATTGGTAATAGGTATTAGAGACCACTTCATTCAGCCCTCTTGTATCACACTTAAGAAGAAAAAGAGATCGGCAAGGTACGTCATTTTCCCTAGAGCATCATCAGCCTCCCATACCTCACTCTTGGTCTCTGTCAGGTGAGTTCCATGAATGGACAGCGCCCCAATTAGACCCTCACTATCCTCTGTGCCCTCCTCAAGCCTAATCAGTAACATTTGGAAGGTCAGCAAGGTACCCAGCTCATTTGTGTGTCCAGTAAATGTTGTAAAGCATAGTTCTCGTGAGCTACACATTTTCTAACAATTATTAGCTAATGGTCTTATGAAATCCATGCTCCATACAAATGTGAGGATCACCTTCCCTCACTACCTCCTGATACAGAGCTTTGCATCTTATTTCCAATAAAGAGATGTTTTCTTACGCTTCTGAAGCTGCCCCAAAAGTGCTAATTAGGGAAAAGAAGAGACTGGAGTTTGGAGCTGTGAAAAGGACAGTACATAAGTGCTCTTGGGTTATCCACCCTGGCACTTACCTGCAGGCAAATGTGTTTTACAGAGGCCCTAGTCCATCTAATTAAACCTATATCCTTCTCCTTACTTGGCATGCACAAAAAAAGAAGCTATTTGGAATGTAAGCACTGACCACAATTTCAGTTCAGCAAAATGCGCGAGGATGAGAACGTGATTGCCGCAGGAAACACTTCAGTCCCCCTGTGTACGCAGAAACGCTACAAGCTTTCACGATTTCTTGGGCCCATGTTTCCTTATGCTGTGTAAAGTGAACCTGGACACACTGAGCACAACCATGTTTAAATTAAGTTAAGGAACACGACTAGCTCAATTAAAAATAGCTGCATGACTGTGCGTGCTAATTTGAAGCCTCATCAACACTATTCACACTCTGCAAGTTATAATTAAAGAACATAAAGCTATTGCATACATAATCTCTAGCGGTGGCACAGCATTTCATCCTTACAAAAGTTAAAATTTAAGACCACTTGTATTTGCTCCGTATTTGTTTCACTTCTGTTATGTACAGCCCTGCGTAAGGGGCTGGTGAGGACACAGCATGGAGATGGCAGGCGCCCACTTCACTAAGCTAGAGATGGTGGATAAGTAACTAGAAGTTACAAGAAACCTGTGCATGAAGTATGGTGATGGCCTAGAGTGGGGACACATGGCCTCCTCCTGAAAGGATTTAGGGAGAACTTCATAAACGTGGTGGTCTCTGAATTGGGAGGGTGGAAGACTTGTTGAGCAAAGACGGGGGATGAGGCAAAAATACAGGAGACTTCAAGCAAAGAACAGAGTGGCCTGAAAGTACGTGGAAATGGTCCAGGAGAATCATCAAGATGCTCCTTCTCTCTGAAAGGAGCAATTCATAACTCTAAGATGGAATTGCGGGGTATGTTAGAAAATTCGAGTGGGATCAAACGTGGAAGTAGTTAGAAGATAGCCTTGACTTCAACATTTTCAGGAAGACCATAAGGCCCAGTGAAATTGTGTGAACAAAACTGGCCAGAAGCACCTGAACAGCCATCCCTGTAGTGCTAAAATGACCTACAAGGGGGAATTTCACCTGGGAGTGCGATGTGTTAGTGCAACAGTGTGACCGAGAACGGACACCAGGGACAGTCCCGACTCGCAGACACAGAGTGACAGACTTGGTGAGAGGGGCAGACAAGCTGCACACACTGAGGTGCTTGTGGGCCGTCAGGGTTAAAAAAAAAGAAAAAAAAAAAGAGTACAACAGGGTATGGAAAATTAGGGGAGGAAAAATGATTACAACCTAGGGGTCTTTCACGTAAGGAAACCCACATTTGCTGCGTAAGAGTGGGAAGTCACCAAGGCAGACTTGGAATGACTAATCTTGCTTGTTGTCATTTTCAAACGTTTACCACAATGAGAGTTTTGTGTGTCCAATAATATTCATGGAATAAAGGTGAGTGTTTTCCAAACCATGCCTTAGACATAGTTGTTTTATTTTGTAGAACAGATGAAGCTATGGTACCAAAAGGAAAGGAAAGGAAAGGAAAGGAAAGGAAAAGAAAAGAAAAGAAAAGAAAAGAAAAGAAAAGAAAAGAAAAGAAAAGAAAAGAGAAAAGGACAGGAGGGTAGGGGAGAGAAGGAGGACAGGCAGGGAAAAAAGAATAGGGGATGGGGAAGGGAGGGAAGGGAAGGGAAGGGAAGGGAAGGGAAGGGAAGGGAAGGGAAGGGAAGGGAAGGGAAGGGAAGGGAAAGGAAGGGAATGGAGAAAAATCAAAGAGCTTTATGTCACATCAGCTGGGGAAAAACTATGTTAAAGCAGGTGTCAGCAACATCTCCATCTCTGGACTCCTCCAGGCCTTGAGCATGTGGCACCCTAAGTCCCCAAAGAGACAACCAGCACACAGCTTTTCCCAAACACCTTTAGTCAAAGCACACTTCTTTTCACAGATTTTATCACTTCTGCAAACCACAGTTAGAGAAGTGCTGCTGTAAGGTAAAGGAAAGGGAAATAGGTTTTCACACGCAGAGAAATTTTGTTGTTGCGTCCCCAGTGATTTAACTTGCATCTAGGAAATGAACACTCAGCCCGC